TTCTCTTTCTTCCTAGCTCAATCGATACTTTGTGATTAGTCATTTTTAGCACAAATACATTCGAACCCCTCTCTCCACCCCAACAATTCTATTGACCTATTGATATTATACTGCAACCATCTTGCCATAAATCTACTTGGGTAAGGAAAACAATCTGATGTCTACTTTCATCTAGATATTACTGCTGTGGATCCTTTTATTCATTTTTATTTTCACAATAAGGAAAAATTTTTCCTCTTTTTAATATCCCTAATCCATATCCACTTCCTTCATTGTAATTTGAAAACCCCATCCTCTATTTTCTGTAAAAGTTAGACCATTTAATTTCAACTTTCCTACATTGTATTTCGAAGTATGTATTATATTTGCTCATCTTCTCCTCCTTTTCCCCTGTCTCAGAAAAATTGGTACATTTGTATAGGTTTACAAATAATTCTTTTGTTTCTGACCCTGATCCTGCTGTAACTTGCTCCATGGACTTATCTCATCTCTTGGTGTGTTTCAGCATTTTTTTACCAATAGCGCTTTTCTTTTAAGGTACAAATCTCTATCTTAAAATTACCTTCCCATGATTCTGTCTGTCCTTATAGTCATAGATACCATTCCATAAGTATCCTTACCTCTTCTAAAATCTCAGTAGAGTAGTGTTGCTTTTAATTCCTCGCACATTATTTACTTCTTAACCACTTGGAGTGTATCTTAATGGTTACAGCAATAGTGATTTCATAAGTCTGAAAATATTTTCTCTGTTTCCACCTAACTCCACATCTGTGTAACATTTTCACCCTTGACACCACTTGTTTTGTCTAGCTATTTATTTCTATAGTTTCCATGACCCTCTATTCTGTTCTCCTTGGTACTCTGAATTGTTCCAATTTCCTTTTGCTGTACCAGCCCCTGAATCAAAGGGTATACTAGTATACTTAAGTTCTATTCTTGGACAATTTCTCTTCTCACTTGACACTTTTCTCCTAAGGAAGTTTATTTATTCCTTTGTCTGAAAGAAAAAAAAAATCATTTCTACAGTTGTACTTTTCTTTTGAGCATTATATTTAATTCACAATACCTCCTAGATACCTTCAAACTTACCATGTATAAGATTTAACTCAGTATCTAATGTCAGCTTGTTTCAACTTGTTTTTTTTTTATCTTTGTTTATAACATGGCTAATTTTTTAATTATCTAGGCATACTTTATTCATTCATTTTCTTGATTTAACACATTTCTCATATTTTGAGAAGTTTGCCTTCTTGTTGCCCAAGATCTCAGCACCATCTCCCTAGTTGAGGTCATTATAATGTTTTATTTAGACTATAATAACATGATATGATAACCTCCTTTCTTAGGTTGCCTGACATATTGTCATAAAGACAGAGTCCAAGAAATTTTATAATCCTTCATTTTTTTTTCAAATCTCTAGTATCTTTACTATTTCCAGTGAATTACCTGAAATTCAAAAGCATCCATGATCCTACTTCATTAAACCCCTGCAACAATAATTTATACTCTATACCCTCTATGTATCCTAAAGTGCAAAACCCATCAAACTTGGTATTTCGCTCTTCAAGTTCCTATATTTACTTCAGCCAAAAGATTTTATTCCCATTTAATCACATCTCAAAATTCTATACATCCTTTTAAATGCGAATTAAAATAATGGCTCCTTAAACACCAGTTTCCCCTGCCCACACTCAACACCAGTGCCCCATTACTTCAATCTAGGCATAACAAATTATGCACATTTAAGCCCAAATGCTACATTGATGGCTAAAATTTATAACAAATCTCATGAGGTTAAGACATTGGCATTGCATATAATCAAATAGAAACACATGTAGTCAGACAGATCTGGTTTTCAATGGTATCTTTGCCATTAACAAACAATGTGATTTTGGCAAATTACTTAACCTTTTGGTGTCTCAATTTCTTAAACCAAATATGGAGAGAAGAGCTATCTCATAATGTCTTTGTGTCAATTTTACAAAATCTATGTGTGCAATGCCTGGCATAGGATTGGTATTAAGTAAAAAAAAAAAAGCCATTATAATTATTATGCTTGAACTAGAAAAAGGTAACCAATATTTATCAGGTAAGTAAGTATCCATGACATTTTGCAAAACTTTTATGACAGAATTACCAAAGATTTTGCCTATTCCAGCTACTCAGATTCCTTTTCTGAGAAGTTCCACTTCAGAGGAAGGCTTATTCTTCTTGTGTACAAGATATTGGTTTTAAGTGAATGATTTATTGTTCCAAAATCAAGTGGCCCAGAGATCTTAGCTGTTTGCCTTAGCTATCCTCATGGATTGATCTTGTCAGTTTCTCCATTGCAGCATAAAACACTAACGACTGCTTAAGTTAGCATAAAATTGCTTTTGTGAAGCTCATGTGTATATCTGGTGCTCATATAGAATTCCCCCACAATTAAGATCATGAGGACCCACAAAGTACTTAAGATACCTAATTGTGTTCTCAGTAACTTGAGAATGGAGCCATAGTGTCACTGTCCTCCAGTGACTATCTTTAGTTATTAGACAATTGCATTTCCTACACAAATTTCCTTGATCAGATGTGAATTACTCTCTTGTTAAAATGCTCCCAAGAATTTCTGGGGACAGATATTAGGCAGAAATCATTTTCTAATCATGTGGACTTCTTGGAATTGCAATTCACTATTGATTTTATCAAGACCACAAAATTAGCATGTCATTAAATACAGTATATAAGCAGCTACAAAAGCAGACAGACCATCATCCACTTAACTTCTTCACTTCTTGTCCTCCACCTTGGAAAACAGGTAAGAATTTCAGATATAAATTTGATGTATCCCCTCTGTAGCTTTATTTCAAAATAGATTGAGATATATGAAGAAAATAATTGCATAAACATAGTTTTTGAAATAAGGGTATTTAAAGTAATGCTGATATTATTTTGAACACTTAGGTTAAAAAAAGCAGAAGGGCCTATAAAGATTTGGTAAAAATTATAACGACAGCATAAGCTGTATGAGTCTAAGAAAATGTAGTAATAGTGATTACTGTTTTTTAGTACAAGGCTAGTGAACAAGTTATTTTAAAAGATCTATTTTCTGAATGAAACAGTTTTCTAATTTAATTAAACATGCCACAATCATAAAAGCAAGTATATTTAAATTATTATAAAAAGATATGATTATTGGGAAAGCTTTATCCAAGCTTTATTTATAATGTAGCATATTGAGTCAAGAAACTGTAGGAGTTGTTTAGGAACATGCACTAGTTGAAATGTTTATGAAGAATTTTTTTTAGAGAAAGAAGGTATTCATCAAACTTGTTTACAATATGCGACATCTCACCTTATTCATCAATTTATAATATTTCAAAATAATATTAAAATAGATACAAGAAATACAGAATTAAGTTTTAAAAGGTGCTGTGCTTTGTAAGAGTATTCTAGAAGAGACAAAAAACAAAAACAAAACAAAGAGAAGATTTGAAAGAAAGTACCTTAGAATATATTAGCCAATAACAGAGCTCTAGCTTAAAAATTAGTATGTAAAATGGTAATTGTAAAATATAGAAAATACAATAAGATCTTCCCAACCCATAATAATCTCTAATAGAATAATATATTCTTTTTTTTGAGATCTGACGATGAAAAATTATTGTTAAACTTATAGAGGTCTTAAGCAAAGTAAAGAATTATATAGCACACCTGAGAAAAATCTAGAAAAAATATTTCTTCCCCTAATAAAGAGACCTATTTTCAACCTTTCTATATTAGAAAGAACATTTTTCAGGTGGATTAGGTACTTGTTCATAAACTATTTTTATTTCAACTATTTTATTTAGTTTCAAAATTTGGAGTTGAAGATTGTATGTCAAGGGATGTGGGTGGCACAAATTTATTACAAGAAATTATGGAACTGCAACAAAACCAAGCATTTGGTACCTTTGGTCAAAACTGTTAACATATTTTATGTTATGCTACGAGAAGTGGTAGGCTAGAGTGGGGACTGGGCAAGAGAATCTGATGCTTTGGTAAATCATTAAGAGATCAGAGGGAAGAGAGGCATAGTATATGACCTCTAAAGTTACGTGGCAAAAAGAAGAAGGGACATCTTTAGGTGTGTGAGGATGAAGACTGTGTAGGGGGCATAAATAGAGGAAGAACAAACAAATCAGTCCAAGAAAGCACTTGGATAAGTGGAGCAAATAAATGAAATGCTCAAATAAAAATCTGTCTTATTGGAAATAAAGGAATATGATTAAACCAAAATATTCATGGAAAATGTTTAGTTTAGTAAAGGGAAGGTAAAAATAAAATATGATCTTCTATGTATACATTTTCTTTGATCAGTTTTCCCAACAGAACTGAGGATCTCACCAGGGCTGAGAACTTAATATTTTGTTTGCTGCTATAATCTCAGTACCTAGACAGCATCTGGCAATAAAGGGTGCTAAGTAAATATTATTCATTTTTGAATAAATGAATCGATTAATAAAGCTTTCTATAAACATTTTTAATTAATTAATTAATTAATTTTAACTAGTTTCAAGTATACAGTACATTGGTTAGACATCTATATAGTTCAGAAAATGATTCCACCAATTGCTCCCTCCCTCCCCTGGCCCTCCACTTACTTAGCCAACGTATTAATGCTAACTACATCCCCTATGCTGTGCTCCCCATCCCCATAAATATTTATAAGTTTTTTTATCTTTTGAAAAAAAACTCAAAGTACTGTGAATAAGATGAAAAAGAATGAGGTAAGGTAGAGCTGATAGTTGAAAAAATCTGACTGACTGCCAATGAAGTATGAAATTGATATGTAAGAGTCAGAACCAGTGGTCGATTATGACCTCAGTTATATGCTAAAATTTCTATTAATATTTTTTTCTAAAATGCAGACATTTTAATTTTATATTATTTTTGGTTTCTTTAAAAAGGAAGTAAATAAGAAAATAAATTGACCACTGTGTTATCATTCCCTCACTTCCCATTCACAGGACTCGATAGCCATGAAGGTCCTCATCCTTGCCTGCCTGGTGGCCCTTGCTCTTGCTAGGGAGGTAAGAAAATCTCTAAATAATTAACATGTAGTGGACTATCTGCACCCATATAGACAACATCACCAACATTTTAAATGTACAAATAAAGCAAAATTAAACAATTTTTTGCTTTTACTTCAAAGAAAATCATTTATACTCATCTACTATTTCAAGTGTCCTATAGGGCCACAATTCTAGGTTAAATGCTATCCACACCACTGTGCCATCAGTCTCTAAAGGAAAAAATAACAAACTAATAAGCAGCAGACAAAAATAAGAAGAAACAAATATGAAAACAACAAAAAGAATAATATTACACAAATACAGTTGCGTAAACGTGCAGCCTAGATAAATGTCTTATTCCCATGATGAAGCATATGTGCCTCTTACCCTAGGGTACTTGACCAAATTCTACCTGTATCTATCCAAAGACATCCAGAAGATGGAGTATCAGGCCATAACCGTGAACATATTTATAATCATAATAAAAAGTATTTAATACAAATTAAATTAACTACTTTCCTGTTACCCACACAAAATTATTCTTCATTCAGGTAAAATTAAAATACACCATTAGAGTTACCAAATATAAAAGACATAAAAACAATTACCATTCAATACTCTCAAAAGCTACATAACATTTTTTATTTCTTAAATTTGTGAAGGAGGTAGCTCTGCATAAAAAGGTAAGACGTTAGTAGGAAAAATGTTTAATAATGAGTTAGCTATAGAAACTAAGATGTTTTTTTTTTCTTTATAGAAGGAAGAAATCAGTGTATCCAGTGAGGTAAGATATTTTTATTCAGAGAAAATTTTCCAACCATAAAATAGTATTCTCCCATGATCTAGGAGAAACCAGTTGTTGACTTTTTTTTTTCTTTACAGACTGTAGAAAGCCTTTCAAATAGTGAGGTAAGATAACATTCATTCTGAAGAAATTCCTTGATTTTTTAACAGTTACATGCTGTACTATCTATTGTGTTACTTTAGGGCATTTAGGACAATGCAGCTAGTTCTGACATATAAGTTCTGATGTAAATTTCCATTATATATGTTTAAGGATGGAATAAATGCTGCAGAATTCAGTAATTGAGCACTTTCTAAGTTGACTTTCTACTTGAAATTGTGTCACTGCATCCCCTCACAAATGAACTGTACGGTCCTTTTTTTCTGTCTTGATCTCTCTCCATACTGACCTAATTTGCTGTTTTGACATTTATTGAGTGCCTTCTGTGGATCAAACATTGACTAGGAGCTGCAGTACAAACTAAAAAGTGGAAGCCCATAGGAAAAAGCTGGCAATATAGTGAGTGGGCAAACATGCGAATAGATACATTTTGTAATTACAATACTCAATTTAGTAAACAAGAGGTAATAAGACTTAGTTTTAGTCCTAAATCTGCCCAAGAGAGTTAGATAGATATTTACCCTTATATCACTTGAGGAGAGGAGGGTCTGTGATCACCTGTTAGTTAAATGTACATTGGTATATACTGTCTCTTCACAAATGATATCAGATCCTTAGGAAGATATTTAGTTTCTATAATTCATTTGAAGCCTAAACATAACAAATGAACTAAGAATGATGACCAGAATGTATCAATGGCCATTATAATGTATAATTAATGAATATTATTCTTTTGGAATTAGATAGAGTATTAGAGTTCATTTGTTATTGTAGGAAGAAACAGTGATAGAGAAAAATCAGCATCTATTAAATGCCTCTTTTTGTACTGTTTGCTAGTTTTCTTTTCTGTCTGACAGCATTCATCTTTCTTTCTTTTAAACAATAGGTTTATAAGGAACAATGTAACATATAAGTTTCAGTAATTATCCTGAGTTTTTAATGATATTATTAAACAAGGTGTCCACATTAATCTGTTAAATGCCTTCATTTTCTGACTCATATTGACAAATAAAAATTGTTCATTAAAACTTAACCTAATTTTATTTTTGTTTTTTGGAAGGAATCTATTACACACATCAAAAAGGTAAAACTCCCATATTTAAATGTACGTATTTTCAAAATTTCCTGCATTTAATTTTTATAGATGATAACATTTCTTTTTATGTGATTTGTTTTTTAGCAGAAACTTGAGCAGTCTGAACGTGAGAAACAGCAACAAAGAAAGGTAATTTGTTTATGATATTTCTAAAATTATTATAAAATGTAATACATACAAAATAGGTGTATGGTCAGTCTAAAGAATGTTAATAAGATAAATGCCAGTATAAGAGATAAAACTTGATTAAGTCAATATATTTTCAAGACATAAGTGAATTTTTAAAACTCATAATCAACTTGCAGAGTATAGAATAAATACTTAAGAATGATTATTGATTTGCTCACTTTATTAATGCTATACCTGTTTTCCATAAACACATAGTAGTAGAAAGATTTTCAGGCTGAGAACTAGGTTCCCCTTATTCTCAAGATGCATATGCTGATGAAAGATAATAGGAAGGCAATATGTTTCAAATCCTAATTTGATCATTTATTAGCTGTAGACCTTGGCCTTAAGTTTCTCTGTACTTCAATTTCCTTATCTATAACAGAATATTCATAACTCCCAAAGGTTTATAAGCTGTGACACTGTAAATATTCAATAATTTTACATTGACATTTCATAGACAGTTTTATATTCATATTTATAAATACATGCAGTTCATAAAAGAATTTCCATTAACAGATGAGAGAAGTAAGGTACAGAACAATTGAGTACGCAATCGTGTGACAATACCGCTGTTATTAAATAGAAGATCCTGCTTAAAGATAAAGATTTTTAGACAACATAAAATTCTTTATTTAATTGACTTATATGTATAGTAACATATTTATCTAATTGTAATATTTCAGATTCCCTGTTTTATCAATGGAGTTGGTTTGTTTGGAACTTACACCAAATATTTTTTTATATCAAAATTAATTTACAAATTGATGCCTCTTTGAAGACTCAATGGCTACCTTCTACCAAGGAAAATAGTGCTCGAAGTTGGCTGGTGTTGAGTAACTCCTTGAATTAAACCACAGAGTAATGTTTACTTTTTGTTAGAACGAACAAAAATAAACCTTGGAGTTATTTAACTAAGTCTTTTAAAGTATATTTTCCTTCATTATATGGAAACAATTTGATCTATTATCAACACACTATATTGACAAGTCCATGCCATCTGAATACCAGAATGCAGAGCTACAGCTATTGAAGGCAACTCAGAAAGAGAAAGAAGTTTCGAAATGCCCAAATATTGATTTTAGTTTGATCTGCGTTCACCTCTGAAGAGGTTAATGAGAAATCTCTCCAATGAATATTTAACTCATTAGTCTTCTTATGACCCCAAATAATTTCTTAACCAACATAAGTAAAATATTTTCTTTCTTTTCACTCAATTATGATTGTTCAAAACAGAGGCAGTTAATTCATCATGAATGGCAATTACAGCTCAATTATGAACTCAAATTTTTTTTTTCTTTCTTTCTAGAATGGACGCCGGGACGAAATCCACTCCTCTGTCCAGCCACAGCCTGTACTCTATCCTTACGCTGAGCCCATCCCTTACACTGTTCTCCCACAAAACGTTCTGCCTTTTGCTCAGCCTGCTATGGTGCTACCTTTCTTTCAGCCTGAAATAATGGAAGTCTCTAAAGCTAAAGAGACCGCCTTTCCTAAGCGCAAAGTGATGCCGTTTTCTGAACGCCAAATCCCAAATCTCACTGATCCCAAAAATCCACACCTTTCTCAGCCTCAGGTCCAGCCCTTGATGCACCAGGTCTCCCAGCCTCTTTTTCAGATTCCTATGCTTCCTACTCAGCCCCTGCTCTCCATTCCTCAGCCCAAAGTCATGCCTTTTACCCAGCAAGTGATGACCTACCCTCAGAGAAATATGCCCATCCAAGCCCTTCTGCAGTACCAAGAGCCTCTGCTTAACTCTGACAGCGAGTTGGACCCTGTGGCTCAACCATTTGTCCCCGTTTACAATTTGCAACAAGTAAGTCCAAATTCACTAACTCTGCTGTTTTATTCATAATGTGTGTATACTAGAAGTGAGAGATCCAGAATAAAATAAATGAATTATGAATGAATCTAAAATGTACATAGTTTAGATCAGAGATTCTCAACACTAGTTATACAATAGACTAACCCAGGAAACTTTTTTCCTCCATAATCCCAATGTACAGGCCTATTCACAGAGATTTTGATACAATAGTTTTAATTTCCTATGTAGAAGATACTGAATATTGGGAAGAAATTATTTCAGAGATTCTGATTTAATTATCTGTTGGTAATATAGGTAAAGAGGATCAAGCTTATTAAAGAGAGAATTAAATTTGATAATCTGGGTTTGGAATAAAGAGGGTTCATTATTTTCTACAGTTCTGAAGTTTTCTTGTGCACATCTATTCCCACATGTCTTATTTCTCATCTTGTTTTTAAAATATGTACATGTGAGGGCAAATGATTAAAATGCTTACTTCATTACTCAAAATTTCTAGTAAAAGTGTTCTCGTTTGTTTATTTTTTAAGGTCTGAGAAGATTTCAAAATTAATGTTCCTTCCTCGCTTTTGGTAAGATTTTGGTAAGATTTGGAGATTAGACTGATTATTTTTATAGTTAACACCTTTTTACATTTTATTCTCCTGGATAAGCCCAAGATAGTGACAAACTCCATCAATATACCACCTTATTTATTAATTATCAATGTGTCATGGACATGTAAATAGTTAACTATTATTTACTGACTTGAAATTATGTATCTTTTGTATTTCAAATAATTTTAATTTTAATAATATGCTACTGACAGATTTGACTGTTCTGCTTTCAAGTGCCTATATTGTTATGCTTGATTAATATCATTTTTAGAAAAAAACTGAAAATAGTTTTTTCTACTTTTATGTAAATATTTTTAAACTTTAAAAAAAATTAACTTGCATTCTCATTTCTACCTTACACTCCATAAATTCAATTGTTTTTATCTCATTTAATACTTATATATTGTTTTTAGTTCATGGATCAAAATAAAATTAATTAGTCCAAATGTGAGGATTTAAAAGGAGAGAGAATATAGCTTTAAGATTCTTAAGATACAAATCTTTTTCTGATCATTATAGACTAGACATTTCACTGAGACATTTCCAGACAAGTTGCTATTTGGTCTTAGGAGACTTTTACATACCATCTAGAGCACAACATGGTGCATTTTAAATAAATTTCTCTTATGAATTAGTCACATCAAAATTACAAGTGGGAGGAGATAATTAGTTATTATCATACAATATAACTAATTCTGTATTTGTTTTCTATTCCACAGAACTGACTGTGGCGGGAAATGTGGCATCTTTTCAATTTTTGTATCATGTCATCAAAAACTAATAATTTTTAAAATAATTTTCTATGGAAAAAATAAAAATTTATCATTTTAATTTATTTTATGTATTATATAACATCTATTTTTAACTTGAGTTTGACTTATAACTTCTATTTTCCAAATTTTAATTCAATAATTACCAAAAAAGTTCAACTTTGAGTTGGAAGTAGTACATAACTATATCAAAAATATATATAAAAATAGTTTCTGGAGTTGTGCTTATTATCATTATTTCCTAAGCAGTCATTTCAATAAATTAATCCTTTATGCATACTTAAGTGTTCTTGTCTTTATTATAATTTTTCAAACTTAAGATTATTACTTTTGTCAAAAATATCCATGTAAAAATGGAAATTAAATAGAATGCTTTGAATTTAATATTAAAAGATATCAAAAGGTGGAAGAAAAAGATAATGTGATCAGACACTGTGTTGGCTCTAGAAAGTCTTGTTTCATCCAGCATCGTATATAAAAATGTATGGTTACCCTAGGAAAAAAACCTTCAAACGTGAAATTTAATTCACAGCTCTGCAACATGGTAGCTAAGTGGTGCTTTGAAAATTACTCAATCTTTTGGAGCTTCAATTTCTACACTATAAAATAGTCAATTCAAAGGGTTTTATTGAAGTTTTAAGGTGATTAGTGCACTGCACAATATATGATGTGTTCTCTGTTGCTCCCCGTTACTGATTCCACTTACTTTAGAGCAGCAAGAGCCAATTCCACAATCAGAATGAGATGGGTTACATGGTTTAGCCAGCAATGCCCAAGAACCTGACTTACATGAAGTTCTGATATTCATTGTCTGTGACTGTGGAGTAATTGTTTCATTGTGATAAATCATTCCTACACCAACTCCTTAACTTGTACACTCAATTGCATCCCCTTGAGTTTAAAAAATTATACATCTCCAGCAATTATTCCGCTTTTCCTGCATCCTCAGTTTTCCTCACCTCAAGATCAAATGCAAACCTGACTTATGCTATAACATCTCCCATCTTTAAAGAAGAAAATTCTCCGCTCAGCAGTAGACCTCCAAACCACTCCCAGTTCTTTAGGTTACTTTGTGGCAACTATCATAAAAGTATCCATACCGCTCTTTCCATTGTCTCACATGACATTCTCTCATTAACCTGCTCCCATCAAACTTTTGTCCCAATGAAATCACTTTTTTTCAAGGTTACCAACAACTTTGTTTCCTAATCTGGGTCGATTTTATCCAGACTCGCAGTGCTATTTGGTAGAGTTGATCCTCCCTTCATTTTTTGAAATACCATACTTCTCTTCACTTGAAATCCTAAAGAAAAAAAATTCTAAACCTTTCAAACCTTCGGTTTCTCCCTTAACTCACTAGCCACTTCACAGTCTCCCTTTTAGTATTTCCTTTTCTAAACCTTTAAGGATTGGAGTACTTTAGGGGTTAGCCTTACTTTGGCTGATATTGTTTAGTTCCATGGCTCTCAGTCCATCCAGAGGCTGAGAGCTTCAATATGTATACCTCTAAATTTACTTCTTTCTTGAACTCCAAACTTATGCACTCCACTTGCTTTCTTGGCCTCCACCTGAGCATCTAACTAATATCTCAAATCTGGCATGGCCAAGCTTAACTTTTCATCTGGGTCCAGTCTCCAACTTGCTCAAATTTCAATAAAAAAGACAACTGATACAATAGTATGTGGGCAAAAGACTTGAATAAGCACTTCACCAAAAGAGGATATCTTAATGGCCAATAAACATTTATGAAATGGTAGTAAACATCATTAGTTCTCAGAAAAATGCAAATTAAAACTGCATATAATATTATGATAAACCACCAGAATGACTAAAATGAAAAAAAAAAAAAGGCAAAATCAAGTGTTTGCAAAAAACAAACAGAAGGAATGCTAAGCAGTGCTGATGTAAATGAAAATTTGCACAAGCACCTTGAAAACTTGTGTCAATCTTTGTTAAAAATAAATATCTGCATTATCTTATGACTAGAAGTTCCACTCTTGAATATATAGCCAACTGAAATAATATATATGTGCACTAAAAGTATGTAACCAATATTCTTAGCAGTATTATGCTTAAAATCTAAAAATAAAATCAACGTTAATGTGAATCTAGTGTATTTTATATAAATAAATTATACAATACAATGGAATATTATATTGCAATTAACATAAATGAGCTACTGTCACACAAAACACCACGGATGTATTTTATATAAATAATATTGAATAACATTAACCAGACACAAAATATAACAGAATGTACAACTCCATAAATATAATCTTAGAATCTACGAAAAAGTGATTTCTGCTGAAATAAGTTAGACTGGTGATTATCTGAGGGGAGATAGATCTTGATAGGGAACATAAGGGGTGCTCTCAGGTGCTGGTAATAATCTTTCTATTAACCTGTATGATGGGTACTTTGTGACAATTCATTTTGATGTGTGAGTTTTTCTATGTGTGTGTTTGTCGCTTTATTAATTTAAATATATATTACATTTAAAATGATGTGTTTCTCCAGTGTCTTACCCACCTGCTTCTTTATCCCTGCAGGTGGGGCCTCACCAGTGCAGAATCACCTTTTGCTTCCGGACATAAACGAAATTCCATAATAGGGAATAGGGCCTGGTTTCTGCAGAAGCTGTGGAGTGTCTGGATAACGCTATTGTGAAATACATGGTTTTAGGCCCTATTGAGGTAAAATTTGAAAAACAAGAAGCGGTAGATGGGAGAGAACTTGCAGCTTAATTCTTGTTTCATTTTCTTTTCTGTATATTGTTCAGAGGTGCAGTCCTGTGTAGCCTGTGTTAATTACATAATCATCACCTCAGGTTTTTGATTGCTGAAAGAATTCAGAGGACTTAAACAGTTTATGCTAAGAGAATAGCTTTATGACAGACAAATGACAGTGTACAGCAACAGCAGGAGAAGGATATGCATTAAAAGAGGTGCTGAGGTCTCAGAAGCAAACTTGTTTGTCCTCCCACTGCTTGGTAGCACAGGATATGCTTTATCTCTAGGCCTGAAACCACTAATGAAGGGCATGAGAAACCCCTCAGTACTAGGAAGTTCAAAACTACTTGTCATGAGTGTCTCTTACAAGCATATTTTATGTCATATAAGCATATTTTAGCTGCATGAGTGTCTTAAGCATTGAAAACCACCCCATTTCACTCCCAGCTCCTAGACTCCACTGAACCTGGTGCAAACTATATGTAATCATTACTAAACAATCCTTACAGGCTGATAATATCCTGCCCAAAGCAAGTCACAGACGTGTGGTTACAGAATATTATTTATCTTTAATTATTAAAAACCATAGTGTTGCCCAAGGGTTATTAACTTTGGAGACAAGTGTATAGTCAATCCAGACCAACTGCGAGTAACCAATGCTATGCATAGATCTTCTGGAGAAATTTTGCATGCTGATAAAGCATAATCTATTGAATATCCTTCAACTTGTAGCGAGTGGCTCTTGCATTGCTTTGCATCTTTTCTGAACTCCATTTACTTAGTGCACGCATATATATGTCGTAATTTCTCCCAAACTTCAGCAAGCAATCAATCTGAAAAGAAGCTAAAGATGTAGAAATTTAGGAGTATTTATAAGTATACAAAGTAAATGAACTACAAAATATCATGACAAAGTTGATATTGGATGTAATAAAATACTTCATCATGATAGAATGTATTTTCTCTCTTTAATAATTACCAACTGGATTGAAGAAATGTCTGATTCTTAAAATCTAAAAATCTAAACCAATCTAAAAATCAATCTAAGTATACTAAAAAAAATATAGAATTTTCTGTATAAATGAGTATAGTGGGTGGAATTTTGTCCTTTCAAAAATTATGTTCTAGTCCTAAGCCCAGTGTCTGGGAATGTGACCTTATTTGGAAATACGGAGTTTGTAAATGTAAGCAAAGTAAAATAAGTTCATAATGGATTAGAGTGAGTCCTAAGTCTAATGGTTGTTGTCTTTATAAGAAAAGGGAAATTTAGACACAGACATACACAGAGAAAAGATAGTAATGTGAAGACAGAAGCAGAAATTTGAGTGATGCATTGCAAGATACAGCCACAAATTAAGTAGTGCTAAAGATTGCCAGCAGCCACCAGAAGCTAGGAATTCAGGGAACAATCTCTGGAGCCTTCAGAGGTAGCATGGCCATATCAACATATTGATTTCAAACTTGTAGCCTCTAAACTATGAGAGAATAAATTTCTATTGTTTTAAGCACTATGTTATGGTACTTTGTTATAGCAGCCCTAGGAAGCTAATATATTGAGGCATGCAGATTTCAGTTACATTTTATTCAAAAATCAGTCGAAAATATTTGATCAAATTATTTAATGAATGGAGAACCATAAAAAAAAAGTCTGCTTTACTGATATTATTAAAAGCAAAGTTTGCAAATGGGAAGACGTTGAAATTAATTCCCAAGGAAGAAATTTTTGAAAAATGATGAAAGCTCAAATAATGTACAACACTTAATTTTGAACTTCCATAATTATTTTATGTATCTTAATATGGAGGAAGAAGAGTTTAATGACTCTTGGATAAGGAAATGAGCATATGTTCCAGTCTAGGAATATCATGATGCCAGAATCCCTTATCCAAAGAGAGAGGTCCTTGATCCTAGCAGAGCCAATTAGCATTCTTTTATTGATGTCTGGACATTCAAGGAAGCTGCGATGTAGTCACTTCCTCTGGGAGTGGGACTTGAAAGGACCATAAAACCCTGAGATGTGGACAAACCACATTCCTATCTCCTGCAAATTTAGTCCAAAGAGAAGTGATAGTGAAGGTTAGTTAGGGTTAATGACCACCTTCAAGTTCCTAAATTCAACTGTAGTTCACTCTTGAATTTTTAGTTGCATAAACTAATAAATTCCTTTCTTGTTTTCAGACCTAATTTGAGATAATATTTATATATGTCACTTGGCTTCATGAGATTCCTGACAGAATAGAATCACATTCCTGTATGTCATGGTATTATGCTAGTGGATTTTTCACTGCTATGGCTATAGAGCTTAAGTTTTTAAACAAAAAAGTTCAAGATTCAGTTTTTGAATTAAACAATTAAAGTCTTAGTCAGTTCAGGTTTCCATTACAAAGTACCATAGACTAAATGGCTTAAATAGCAAACATTTATTTATCACAGTTCTGGAGGCTAGAAGTCCAAGTTCAAGGTGCCAGTTGATTCAATGTCTGGTGAAGGCTCCTTTTATGGCTTACAGATGGCCATCTTCTTGCTAGATTTTCACATGGCAGACAGAGAAAGAGAGAGAGAAAGAGATTATCTCATATCTTTTCTTATAGGGCACTAATCCCACTCATGAGGGTTCCACACTTATGGCCTTATTGCCTCTAAAATACTCACCTCTGAATATCATCAAATTTGGTATTAAACTTTCAACATATGAGATAGTAATATACTATAGCAATTAAAATGACAAGAATTCACAAACTTGGTAAGTCTCATGTAAAATCTAGGACAGTAGGGTCCCAGTTATTGAGAAAAAAAATATATATCAGAAGATATGAAAGATTTAAAACAGCAGTCCCCAACCTTTTTGGCACCAGGGGCCAGTGCTTCTATGAGAATCTAATGCCTGATGATCTGAGATGGAGCTGAGGCTGTGATGCTAGCGCTGGGGAACGGCTGCCAATATAGATGAAGCTTCACTGGCTCGATTGCCACTCACTTCCAGCTGTGTGGTCCGGTTCCTAACAAGCCACAGATGGGTAAGGTCTGTGCTCTGGGGGATGGGACCCCTTATTTAGAGAACCCCCAACTTCTGAATGCTCCTGAAACTCTCAATGTGCCTCTTTTTTCATGATGAAATCGTGGTTGCTTTGTTTACTGTAGCTATTAGTTACCTTAATTTCCCACTACTTGCTTTTGCTTCAGTATAACCAGAATTCAACCTTGATATGACTGGAAGTAAGTATAAAAAACTAGAAAGTTATTTCCTTAATGTACAGCGTAGTATATAGACTAGTGTCTTAGACTCTAAATCTGGCCAACAAAGAGAAGGAGAATGTGCGTTTTGTATTGAAAAAAAAAAAACAAAAAAAAAAACCTAAACCATATTTAAAAAATTAGGAGATTTTACACACCAATTTATGTTCCTAGTTTCTCCAATGAGTCCCCAAATCTCATCACATTTGATGTATGTATTTCTGCATGACCATAATAGATTGGAAGGTGTAGCAGAGGAGAAGACATATTCTTCAGATCACTATCAGCATCATTTTTCTGCAACTGTGTTTTACCTCACTTGTTACTTGTTGGGTTCTAGAAGAGAATTTGGTAACCATAATGAAAAGAGAAACATTAAAAAATATCTGTAGATAAATATGCTTAATTTTAATGACACATAGTTTCTCCATGTCTATAGACAAAAAAAGTAGATGACTATGCTTTAATCTTTTCCGTGAAAAATAGACTTTTATAAAGAGTCTTTGCTGCCTACTTACAGTTGACTGAGAACTTTAGTAGAAGCACACAGTATTTGAAATTTCATTTCTGACCTCAGGGAAGGTAGGAAGAGCATTGTGTTACCAAACCAAGTGATAGCAGAGGAGATAGCAGGTAAACTCTTGTAGTAAGACGATAATTAAAATTTATCATAGATGTAGTGCAAGGGTAGTAATTGCATTAGAAAAGATCAAACCAGAAGTGATTTTTTTGTGAGGCTAATTATTATATCTCTAGGAAAAATCGAATGGCAGTCTCATCAGAATGATTTTGATATATAAATATAAAAATATTCTGGTGAACAGAAATCTGGCTGAAGCTACCATCAGGTAAAGTGATGATCCACCGCACTTCCAATTTCCAAATAAGAATCCATTTATGAATCTAGAGAAAGTCGAAGCTCTTTTGAAAAGATCTTACTATAACATCATAGTAACAATCCTGGTCTTTGCCTTCAACATTTGAGTTTTGGAGCATTTACCTGGAGAAAGGGAATTATCTGATTTTCTTACAGATTCTCTGTGATTCATTCTCAGCCTTACTTACTTACTATTTGGAATGGAGAATATGATGATGTGTTGTTTATATTGGAATTTCTTTTAGTCAAGTAATAACTGATGTTGTCATTAAAGTTTATCTCCTTTTATACCTAGTGATAGTCTAAACTATTCATGGTAAGTCTTCAGTTCAGAGTGTATTCTTTAAATAGATACAGTTAGAAACTGGTCTAATCCCCATACTACCTCCTTGATGTAAGGAGTAAAACTGCCAAAAAATACTGACTAGAAACCATTCTTGTGTTTCTTTCTATAATTAAATAATAATTTTGCATATCTAGGGGAATTTTAGTGACTGTTAAAGGCCAAAAAAAGCAAGATTAGTGAATTATATCATTATCCTATTTCCTCATTTGCTTTTGCAATAGCTTCTTAAAGAATAACAATAAATTATGGCAAATTTAATGAGGTGGTTGGTAATAACCTATTACAGATGGTATTTTAAATGTAGTGTCAGATAAATTTCTAATACCTGCTTTATAGCTAGTAACCTGACAAATCCACTTTTCTCCATTCTCACTTTAAAACTAAAGAAAAAGAAGAAAATAATACCAAAAATGGTTTGCTTTCATCTTGCAAAATAGAGGTTTCCACTTCATGGGACAGTTTTAAGGACAGGTCTATTCCAGTCTTGCACCACAGTTTAGTCTATAGGAAACATCATGCAGTCATTAAATTGATGACTTTGTTCTTATGGGGTTTACAACGCAAGAAATATTAAGTACTCTTGATGCCTTGGGAATTGACATAATGACAGAAGCTGAGAGATGTATTTTATGAAGACACAGGGGCCTGCACCCTTCATTAATTTCCTACAGGTCTAGTAGTCTGAGAATATCGATAAACCTTCTCTAGATTGAAAAACAAATTGTTTCACATTGTACTTGTTAACTCTGAGTGAAAGCAGAAGACTGATTGCTAAACAACTTTCTTTTGATTTTCAAGGTAAAAAAAATCATATCTGGGTCTTATGAATGTATGTGTGTGTGTGTATACACACAATCAGTAGGATGCAGAACAACTGATGACCATCTAGATAGTTGAAGCTATGGTATGAGAGGCCTTGTCACTTGTATGTTATGGCTTGGTAGATACAATTGTTCTTAAAGGGTCATGAAATGTTGTGTTGAAAAGCAAATCCCATCTGGGGCTTTGAGAATATCAGAGTAAATAACTTCTCATTTTAAGAAATAGCTCCTTGTTTGGCTTTGAAGGACATTGAAGAGCCCACCATAGATACTAGATGACCTGTGTGTGTGCTGAGATGTGCATTTAAATTGCTATCTAACCTATCTAACTATAAACTGCAGTATAATAAAGTGGAATGGGCTCAAACAAATCCTGACAGCATAAGTAAATTGCATAACCAGGTTGTTCAAATTCCCAGTGTGCCCACAACAGCCACACTGCTGTTTCTTTCTGGGAAATATTTCATGTCTTCATAGGAAATATTCTATAAACAGCTGGCTTCAAATGAAAGATCTCAGATCCAGTTTATAATCTGCCATTGTCAGACAGAAGTGACATTTTAATATTTTTTCATTAAAATGTGATTGAAAGTGTCATAAAAATTTAATGAAAAAAATTACATACGTAAAGATTTAAGATTATGTAAAAATTGTTGAATGGAATAATGACAGAAAACATAGATTGTGCCTTAAAATGTAATTTATTGAGAAGAAAAAAGTCTCAGGCACTGCACACAACTATTTGAAATGATGATACTTACAGAAGAAGCGATTCAAAAAATGTTTAAGCAAAATTTCAATAATAGAAATTTAGTAAAGACTTTAAATACATTCTGATCCAGTGGCCTTCATACTGGCATGATACAACTGGAATTTAAACAATAAAGTGTTAGGAAAATTTAGCTTAAAGAAAATAATAACATGCTATCTAATATGCAGTAGAGAACTCAAGAAGAAAGATTGCCCTCAGTTTGGGAGAGTCCTGTTATTCTAAAATAATAGTCAAAGCTTTTTTGTAGGAAGGTTGTACATAGTAGACAGGAGAAATTTAGAGAATGTAATTTTCAGTCACATCTGTAAATAGAAAAAGTAGCATTTATTAGTTACATTACATATTTTTGAGGGGAAGAGACATTATTATGATATGATATATTTAATAGTCATTTTCTCTTCATCTTGAAGCTCACAGTGTTATTCTTGTTTTCCTGTTACATATCTATTGATCCTGATTTCTCAGTTTTAGAGACAATTTATTGCTAGATAAGGTTTTTTTTTTTTTTTTCAGTAAGGTAGTTAGAAGAAAGACCTTCCACATAGTTCAGAGTTTTATCTTTTTCTTAGTTTGATTTGTTCAAAGGGAAGTTTCTACTATTGGAGAAGGAAAACACACACACACATTACAAGCTCCAATATAGTGTATAAAGATAATTAAAACAAATCTGTAGACATTTGAAACACTTGGTTTCACTATGTGACTAGCTAAGGATTTTCTTTTGTAGTGATTATAAAGAATGGATCCCACTGTTGTATTCACCAGAGTTTCAAAGTCATATCTTCATGGAAAATTAGCAACATCCACACTTGTACTTGTATAGGAGTTTCAATATTATAAATTATATTAGTTAAAATTAGATAATTTTGTTTTTATTTAAATATAATATTATAAAACAAAAAATTGCAAATGTGCAAGACAAATTATTATCTTAGCGATAATGTGTTCACAAGTAGCTAGACTGCAGGAAACAAAACAAAGCAAAAACTTCATAGTGTTCAATCACATCTTTGTACTAAGTTCTCATAAGGAAATAGGATCAATGGTTAGACAGGTAATTTCCAAACTTACCGAGGGCCATAACTATGGAGTTCCTGAAATTCATTTAAGTTTTCTGAAGAAACAAAAATTGTTAAAATGATGTGATGAAGGTAGTTAGTAATAAATTTTTACTAAATCAAATGAAATGTCTGCTACTTACTGTTTTATTTTCCTAGAGACTTATTAAACAAAGATTATTATAATCATAATAATTGTTTTATGATTATCATTATATTATTTAAAGTAAGCAAAAGGCCAGGATTTGAATTTAGGACTACAAAATGCCAAGATTTGTGCTCTATTCTCTACATTGAATTCTTATGTGTATCATAAGCATAACCCAAAGGAAGGCACTTAAAGTTTAGTAGGAGTGCAAAGACCATAAAGTTGAATTATATATTAGAACACTTTATATTTTTAATTTGGGGAGATGTTTTTCCCTACCCTTATCAGAATGAATTTCACTCCTAGAATAGATAGCACTGCTCCACATATTCCCAAATAATGGATTAATATTAGTCATGGATACCAGAAAGTATTATCAATTTCCATTTCAGAAAATTCTAGTATAAGGCATTAAATATTGATTTTTTCCATGTTTATTTTAAATTTTTTTCCTATGGTATGGTATATTCTATAACATTTTTTAATTAAATTTATTGGAGTGACATTGGTTAATAAAATTATGTTGGTTTCAAGTATACAATTCAATAATACATCATCTGTATATTGCACATTGCTTGTTTACCACCTAAAGTCAAATCTACTTCTGTTGCCATTTTTATTTCCTTTGGGGGAACATTAATATGCAGTAATTGAAAAAAACTTACCACTACTCTGACGTAATGTCAGTTTTCTCAATGTTCTCAGAAGTGATGGGTTTAGTGATGTCATAGAATGGTAAGTTAGGAATATACTGTATAATTTGTGGAGGATAATACCAAACAGCATAGGGATAGACATCAAGCTGTTGGAAAAACAAGAGGAAAAGATGATTGAAAAGCAATAATGTATGAGCAATAGCTGCTTGGAATCTCTAAAAATGAATTATGTCATTCATTTCTGACATGGCTATTAAACAAGAGATGTTTACTCTGAGTAAAAAAAAAAAATTCAAACTATGCTCTACAAATGGATCATAGTGAAGAAACTTTTGGAAAAGACTTTTAGAGTACTTGAGGAACAATGAATAAAGGTTTTCTTAAGATCACTCTTCAATACTGAACTCCAAGAACCTATGTTGTTAACACAGGTCCAATTATCAGAGCCCAGAAGAAAGCAGTAGTGTGAATGTAGAAATCATTTCAAAAAGTTGGGAGTGAGAAATAATTGCTTGAGAAAAAAGAAATCTCTTCAGAGTGTGAGGCTATTTAAAAACAAACATTTAAATGTCACAGTATATTATTATTCCATAATTTATTAAGCAAACTGTTACCCTTTGGACGTGGTCGTATTCATTTGTCCTGGAAAGTTGTTCCTGTATAAAACAAAATAAATTCTTAATTACTTAGACATCTGGTTTAACACATTTTTCTGACAATGTACCAAGAGTATAATATCATCCATGAAATTTAAGATAAACTGTGTTCTATGCCAAAAATATGAAAAAACGTCAAGACACTTTTTATTTTCTAACTTTAGGAAAAATATTCTACTGAAGGCTAAGCTTAATATAGTTTGCAAAAATAAAGAATATTTAAGATTCATACACTGGGGAGAAATAATAACCTATCAGTTCTCTAAGACTACGTATTTTATGTTCATGACTATGAATCATTTATTTAAATTTTATCTTTGGTTACCAAAGATAAAGTATTACAAGATATAGTAATACAAAAAATTCTTTTAGAATATATTTCTGTTAAAAAAAAAAAAGAAAAAGAGGAGCACATGTTATAAAAACATAACACATGAAGAAAATATTAAAATATTCTAGATTTAATCAATAATCTTACCTGGTCATGGACAGCTTCTTAAGGAAGAGAAAACCTTTTGTTTTAGTATATTGATTTTACCACTTACAAATAACAAATATTTACTAGGTACTTTCATTTACGTAGAAACTATGCAAAATACTGGGGACACAACTATGAAATGTAATGAACACTGTGAGCAAAACCAACATAATTCTCACACTTGTGGAGGTTACAGGATAGCCATATTATAGCTAAGGTAATAAAATATATTATTCAGGTAACTTCTGGATCAGTAATGATGAATTCCAGTGGGGTACTGATATGTTTAAATTTATTTGGACTTTAACCACAGGCAACTTAGAAACAGAAACAGAGTAACAGTTGGGTCTAAATTAAATCCATTATTGACTTTCCTCTCCCTACGTTGATAACAGAAGAAAACATGAAAATGTAATTTTGCTAAATTAGGACAGGGTCTTTTCCCAAAAGTCCTAATTAAGTCAAGTTTGCTTGCTGTAACCAAAAGAAAGATTTTTGGGTTTTTTTGTTTGTTTGTTTATTTTTGTTTTGTCTTTGTCCTCTATGATAATCTAAGGATCATAACTAAATACTATAAGAGGATTGTGCTGATAGGTACGTTTTAGATCTATCCGTACCCTCAGCATACAGAGAATTTAAATAGTTTAGATGCACATACTAAGGAAAGATCTTCAAAGTGTTGGCTGAAGTCTCATGAGCACAGCAAATTTTAGACTGGATAGTGGAAATAGGAGGAGGAGGAATGAACATTTTACTGAACCTACTACAAGCCTGACTCAGGGCAAATTCAGAAGGAGATTGTTCATTCATATTAAATATGATATCAGGAAGTAAGTATAACAATATTACCATTTCACAAATAAGGAAACAGATTCAGAGAGAATTAGATCAACTCCTTCATTCCCATTTCCATTCTTTCTTAAAGAGTTTTGATAAAAACAATTTGAAGGTTTAGGACTCCTGATTTCTTCTCTAGAATTTACATTGTTTCCTTAAATGGAAAATTTATTTGTCATGTCTGTGCTTCCACAAGCAGACACATTTGTGGAAACCCCAGGATTGGATTTGGGAAAATAAATACATGATAAATTTCTGAATACAATGCATCATCAAGTAGGCTATAAGAGGATTTGATAGAGAATTCAGTCAAAGTAAATTTATCTCTCTTGAGTAATTATGTATATGACATACAACATTAGTCTAGGCATAAATAGAAAGAAATAGCTTTGACAGTATATAAATATAGGTAATCATTTGTCAGCTATTATTAATGGTCAAAGCTAGAATATATAATTTCTTCAGAAAAAAGAAAGCATATTTAGAAGTGGCCCCAATTTAAAACTTAATGTAAATTTAATTCTACAGAATATGATTTTGTATTAGAATAAATAAAACATTTGCCAGCTGGAGTTGGTTATATTTGTTCAACTGTTCTTAGTAAAAAGGAAAAATATTCTCAATTGCTTAGATATCATTCAGTCCAACCTGCCATTTTCAAGTGTTGAAACTAAAATCCCACAATGACCAGTCCGAGAGTAAAAAATGAGGAACTATTAATCCTACTTTAGCGTTTTTTTTTTTTTTTTTACCACAAATAAATTTGGAATAATTCAATTATTCCTTTTTAAAACATTGGAAAACAACTTCCTTAGCTTATTTTTAACTTAAAATAAATTACAATGTAGATATAAATGAATATTTAGATAATTTTACTTACAGTATATCTTATGTCAGCATTACTAAGGAAATTTAAAATGAATTTTGCTTTCTGGTTAGATTTAATTTTGGTCAAATTAAATCAGAATATTAGATGAACTCAGCAAAAACTGATGAAGTTCTGCTACAAGCCACATTTAGACTTATAGTAGATAATTAAACTGGTAAAAGGTAGAGCTTAGAGTCAAACTCAAGTATGGCCAAATGTGTAGACTGATTTTTAAATACTATGCTATTCAGATTCAAAAGCAGACTATAAAATACAAATACTCAACTAAATGCATAAACTAAATACTTGGGATAATAAAGTATTTAGTTTTATTTTCAAAAGGGAATTAGTAAACAGCTAGAGTCCTTCAGACTGCTTACTATGGATTAAAGTTAGTAGGTATTGCAAAGGAGACATAACTTGTCAATACAACATTCTTCATTTTTTGGTATATTTGCCTTTGATAAAGTTTCAATGAAATTTTACCAGATAACTTTGGTTAAGTACATCTTCCTTAAGAATATGTTTCTGCTAAAAAAATATGTGTGTGTGTGTGTGTGTGTGTGTGATTTAAATAAATTGTAACATATATAAGATAATATTTATATATTTTAAATTTAGTAATATATCTTACCTTAGTGCTAGTGGGAACAACTTCCTTTAAAAAAATAAAAACATGCACAGTTTTAATTTTATGACTTATTAGTTTACATTACATTTAAGGTAAGAGTACTAATTAACCAGGCACTATTGCTAAACAACTGTGGTTAACTGATTTTGGCAACAAATTCCTGGATAATTAAGACAAGGGCAATAATTTGAGGTACATGTTATATACAAGGTTACCTTTCCCTTCTCAGTGCTTTCCAGGGAAGATATTCATAATGTTTAAGGAGGATCTGAAATATTCGCCTTTACTGAATTCACATAAACTCTATAATTTGAGTTGGTTTTATTTGTAACTTGGTTGAGGGTCTTTTCCCAAAGTTAAAGGAAGGAGTCCATCATCTTCTAAGGCTATCATCTCTGCCCCGCCGCCTCCCACCCCGCTGCCATTTATCTTAACAAGGGGCAAAGGATTCCAGCATCTGACTAACCTAGAATTGGTTGATTTCTACACAGTATGTAACATCTTTACATCATTGATTTGGAAGCATAGCCATTATTGCAATTTTTAATGACAAGTTTGAGTTCTACCAAAAAAAAAAAAAGGGAAGGGCAAAATAATTAGGAAAAACAAAATGGTTGGACCCACAGACGGCCAGATATTATGGTTTTCCCAGAAACAATTCTTTAATTTTATCTCTGACAAATAGTTGCTTTTTATATCTGTTAGGTCGATATTCATATGTGTTAAAATTAGAATAAAGCTGCATGCATAGTGCCCTGTGTAATCAGACCTTATAAAATATGATCTTTATGGAAACAAACTTTCATAAACACATTTTCTACCTAACTGAAACATTGAATTAACATCAAAATCATTTACCTCACTTGATGAGCTACTGCTAAGTATCTTTTGCTAAGAGGAAAAACAAAAACAAAAAACACATAGTGTTAGTGACCCTGAGACTTTTAAAAGTAAAAGAAGACTAGTACCATACTTTCTTACTGGGTTGCTAACTCCTGGTTTCAGAACTGAAACAAGTGGTACGAAAATATTCAGGCCAATGTAATCTATTTTCTTGGAGTATCAATTTTATGTTAGAGGGGAGAAGTATAATAACTTACCTGATAATTTAAAACATTTTTATTAAAATAAACACAGATATATGGTTGAGTAGAATGCAAAATGTATATGTATTTCTGTAATATAAATAAATCCTTAAGGGAAAAGCCTTATTGAACTGAGTGATCCAGAACTCTAGGTTAAGTGTTTATTCTCATCTACCCTTGGAATTACTTTGATTTGAATAAACTGGAAAAATTAAAATACAACAATCAATTTCAATATGAAACTAAGATTATACTAGCTTATAAACATCTACCCTTTGAAATACCTAGTTTTTCTTCTAAGTTATATACCAACTATACTTAAATAAAAAATAAAATAAATTAAAAAATAAAATAAATTTAAAAAGTAATTACATAGCAATATAATTTTTGATCCCAAGCACATATTTTAAAAGATTGATTGTGATATTCAGCAAAGTAGTCATCTCTTGGGAGATTTGATTAACCAGATATTATAGGCTAACAGATATTTTTCACATATATTTTCTAAATTCTATTAAATTTATTGGGATGACATTGGTTAACAAATTATATAGCTTGCAAGTGTACAATTCTATAATACATCATCTGTATATCATATTGTGTGTCCACCACCCAAACTCAACTCTTCTTCCAATATCATATATTTGACCCTCTTTTCCATAATTTTAAATTAGGAAGCACAGCCCATTGATCATAGATAGTTGCTACAATAGATTCTTTCTGTGCAAGGACTACTCTCGGCATAGAAGAGAGTGACCTCATACTCTGGGATAGCAAAAGCAGGGTTTTCTTGGAGTCTCATGTTTCATTTTAAACATTCATGCACATTTTGCTTCTTACTCTTTATTTTAATAAATAATGTTTTCACTGATTATCATTCAAATTACAAATTTCTTCTTTCAATTTTAACTTATCTGGCAAAACATTATACATTATATTGGGTATAATAGTCCTGCTTAAGGTGTTCAATTTGAGAAGATAGCTCTCTTGAAGCATACAGCACATATTACATATGACATATAAATGCAGAGTTTATTAAAATAAAGATGTCTTACTTGGGAGTCACTCATAACATGTTCCTTAGGGAAAATAAAAGATAATTAATTTTATTTTTATGACAAAAATTAAAATGAAAAATAATAATTACTGAATGAAATAGATGCCAAAGAAAATAGAAAATTGAGGCAACAGCTAAGTGATAAGAAAAACAAAAAAGCCTGATTACTTTGGCTTGAGCTAACCAAAGGATTTACCTTTCTAATTCTCATTTCAGATTTTAATAAAAACTATTTTGGATTCTTATATGTTATGATAAATCAATATAAGTAATCTTACATTTTCCTTTAACCAGCCTAACTTCTTTTTATCTTTAACCTGGATTTGGCCATTAAACTGGAACATTAGATTAAAGACCATATGATAAATAAAAGTGCAGAAAGCATTGATGCAATGTGGATAAATACATAAACAAAATAAATTTCCCCCATCTAATATGCAGTGTTCAGTTTTCATGACCGTAGCAATATAGAGAGTAGTGACATTATCCAAAGAATTTAAGCTCAAAATATTACTGTGAATTTAGCTATCCAGCTAATTCTGGCCAATATAGGATATAATTTATCTTTTTTTCTTAAAATTGAGATATCTGTCTTAGTGTTGACTTAAGAGAATTATTTATTCATTTTGAGTAGAATATTTAAAGAAAATCCTTTTACTTCTTTCTTTTCCTTATATAAGATTTATTCATTTTAAAACGAATTATTAGTACCCTGCCAAGAAAAGAATCATTCAGGTATGAAGGATAGTTAAAAATACATATTTTTTAATCTCATAAGTTTTGAGTGTGGTTTCTTATTACAAAATCTATTAAAAATATAGTAGACAGCCTAAATCCAAAATAATCATGTGTAAAGAAAGTGAATAACCAACCATAACTATGTAAAACATTCTTGGAGCAGATATATTACTTTATATAATAATCTCAATAAAGCATTCCTTCAACTTTGGCAGTAAGTGCAAATAATTGGCCAGTCCTGCATGCATTTATGCTTTGATCCATCCATCCATCCATCCATTCTTCCATTCATCCATCCATCCATCTTTCCATCTATCCTTCCATCCATCCATCCTAATGTTTTGTCTCTTCATTCTTAAGTCAATAAAATTAGTATTTTTTAGAATTCTCAACATTATTTGTCATTTTGAATGTCTAACTAAAAAGTTCAAGTAAAGTACATATGCTAAAGGGAAATTTTTTTTTTCTAAATTAAAACATACTTTTTGGCCACACTATTTTAAGAAAATTCTGGTACCTTGAGTTCATCGCTCTGTTTTTCTCTCAGTCGTCTCTGTTGAAACCAATAAAGTATAACTTGTAAAATATATTTTTGAAAGACAAATTTTTAAAATAATTTAAGTATCATTGATGTTCTTTACCTTGTTCCATTCATTGTTGTGTTCCTTAGTAATAGAAAAGAAAAAAAAAATAGTGGAGAAGAGCATACATAAATAAAATCTATGAGAAACTATAGCTTGTACTGTGCTGCTGCAAATTAAAAAATAAATATACTTTTCATAAATGTATTAATATTTCTTGCTGCATCATTTTTAACACTGTCTTGTTGCTAAGCTCTCCTTGTTTAAGCTGTCAGCATGTAAAGTACACTTAAAAGTATTTAAAAATTATTGTCCATTAAATTTGTTATTAATTTTCACCATATTTTAGTCATAATTCTGAGTTCTATTGAGCCCATCAGTCTAGTTCAATAAATCTAATGTTTATTTCCATAAAATGGCAATAAAGAATTAGACAGATCATTTGCTTCCCTTTGTTAGCTCTACAGCACATCTTGGGGAGAATTTCTTACCTTTCTTATCTCTCCTGGTATAGACTATGAAAAAAAAAAAGATTATATTAAAAATCATTTAGACAAAGTTTGGTTGCCTATCAATTTTTTAAATAGTGGCCTTCAAGTAAAATTTCCATTTGTGTTCTATTTGACAATTAAGTCACAAAATTATAGAAAATACTACATATACTGGGTGTTATTTAGAGAAAGAGAACACTATTGTAATAACCACAGAAATTGTAAAGTTTTACATAGGTTATGCAAAGGAAAGCATAGGTGTTTTTGCAGAGAGACAAATGTACAGGTACAAATTAAAATTTAAAGCAGTTCTTTAATATTTACATATCTGTTGTCTATATTCTTTATAGGTACTTAGGTGAATGAATGAAGAGAAAGTTTGATCAAGTGAAAAAACATATTTATAAACTAAAATTATATTAATTTTCTTAGAAAAATGTTTGTTTTAAGAAGAGTAAGTAACACTTACCAGAGCAAACTTGAAAAACTTTCTTTGTTTGAGGACCTCCTGTAGAAATTAAATTGTGAATTATAAAAATAAAAAACATCTCCCAAATGAGCATGTTTTCTATTTTTAATACAAGTTCTCCATTTAATTGGATAAATCAGCATATTTCACAGGTGAAAGAAAAGATAATTAGATTTTGTTTTATGATCAAATTTTAAAATCTCAAGGAGACACCCTATTTGGTTTCTTTCTTACCAGACCTAGATTTAGTAGACCATGTCAAAGGAGGAATTGAATAGGGATTTAATCAAAACAGAGAATTGAGAGAATAATTCAAGTACTCGAGTACTTGTATATATTTAAAGGTAAGTAAAAATTGGAATGAAGAAGGCATTCAACATTCATCATAGCTAACTGAAAGAGAGTAGTTTGTTGGTGGTGGGAGTGGGGAGGTGAGAAAGAACCTTACCTCTGTGCTGTCTGGTTCATTCTGCAAAGAATTAAAAAAAAAAAAAAAGAGAGATATTAGTTCAATTAGTGGACAGAGTGAAGGATTAATAGCTATTGTGGAAAGATGTGGTAGCGGTATCTAATTCAAGATTCAGTGTGCAAAATGAGACCAAATTGTAAGTCATATGTTTGAATGCAAGTAAAAGAGATAGAAAGAAGCAGAAATACATGAAAATAAACCATGTTATATTCATATATGTTTAATTAATTATTTTTCTTGAGTAATAAGACTTTTATTAATCATATATATTTATAAATTCATTTGCTCTTCTCTCTAAAAAGGTTTGTAAGAAGGAATCAATAATTGTAGGTAAATGAACTGAAGATATTATACCTCAGCGAATGCAAAACTGGCTGTTTTATAGAGAAGGGTGGAATGGGTCTAGAGTCACTTAAGTTTCACAATGAGAGTAAGTTCTTGGAACGTAGAATACTCACTTGAATGAGTTCTGGGTGTCTTAGAGGAAGTTTCTGTGAAAAACAAAGCAAGAGTTGTAAAACAAAACAAAAAGCAATCAAAATACAATAATAATAATAATATTACAGTAACAATATAATCTTTAAATTTTAACATTACTTTATAAAAATGGTTTGTATCTTAACAGTTAAATTTGTCTGAGACCAAGTTTCTTTGAGAGTAAAAAAAAAGAGAGAGAACTAAAATTATTTTATGAGCAAATATCAAAGGAAAATGGGTTAATTATTTCCTTTATAATATGGCAGAGAATTGAGAAAACTATGTAAAAAGTCTAAAAAAAACTTTTTTAGTTATTTTGAATTAATCCAGAATGATAAAGACGTTATTTAGTATTTTTAACTATTTATATTATATGATAGTTTTAAAAGTGATTTTAAAGCTTATAAACTTTTGGAGCAAATCTATACTTTCTTAATTAAATGTTGTTTATCTTGGTTTTATTTTTATCAATTAAATTTATAAACATTTATTTTGATATGAATTTTGACTATGGAATGACAGGTTTTTTAAATGATAGCATTAAAAAAAAAGCATGTTTTCTTTGGAATAAGGATGTAAAATCTGTTTACTGGGGAACCTTATCCATTTAGTTTTTAAAAGAACAGGATAAGAACTACTCCAATGACACATTTCTGAGGAACTTGAACTTGTTTTTTTTGTAACCTGAAGTCAGAGATTTCTTTCTAGTCGTGCTTAATGTATAGCAGAAACACTATTGGGTTAGAAATTGAGTTCTTGATGATTCTGTATTGTCCGAATGGAGATTTAGAGGTTAAGAGTCTCGTCAAAAATACTAGACTATCTCAGCATTTCAGAAACTTTGCTTCTGTGTGAGATAGTTTCAGTATCCAAATATCCCAGATCATTATTTTATCTGAATTGTTTTCTAGTCAGATAATCGCTGTTTACATATTGTTCTCACCTGCATTAACTACACATCACAAGAAAACAGAATAACTCTTAGCTTCACATAACTGTCTAAAGAGTTGGAGTTTTTTGGGAGGATAGGAGTGTGGAAGAAAGGTTATTTAATTTACATTATCTAGTTTCTCTGTCTACAGTGACCACAGTAACTTGATCTCTGAATCAGCAGAATCAGCCCAGTTTTCTAGACCTCGGGAAAAAAAATGGTTGACACAAGCTATCTTAAATGAGATAGGTTTGACTCTAGTTCCAAAAGTATATACTGAACATGTGGATTATTGTTATATTCGGTAAGGACATATGGGATACCTATTCTATGTCTACAAATATGCTAATTTTATAATGGGCCCAGTGAAAGAGCCTAATCACATTCTTAGATGTTACTTATTTTTTGTGCAATTATTTCTTATTTTCCTTTTATTTTTTAGTTGTGAGATGCTTATAGTTTTAGTCAGTTTATTTGGAGTTAAGGCTTTGGGTGAACTATATAATGATGGTCAAAATATGAAGTATTACCACAGTTTTAATATCAAGACTTTGATAGCTAATTAGAGATCATCCAATGTTTTAAGATTTTTTTCTCAATATCTTGTGTTTGATGAGATATCAGGTCATTTCTCAAAAGAATCTATAATTTTTTTTTAAATTTCTACTCTACTCACAGGCTTGGCAAGGGCAACAGCCATGAGGCAGGTAAAAATGAGAAGCTTCATGGTTGTCAAGATCTATGTAAGAGGACAAAATAAAAAGAGTTAGGTCTTATAATAAAATTCATTTTATGAAAAACAAAACCTTTGATTTTCCAACAAAAGAGCATATTGTGATAAAATAGTTTCATTTTAGAAATAATATTTTTATTAAATTATGATTTTAAATTTTGTTACTCAACATGTTTATCATTCTAGTTATCTTGCTTAATGTTTATAGTAATGTTTATACCAGTTTCTTATCAATACTTTCATTGATTCTCTCTCTAAAATAAAACATTCAGTCCTTAAAGTAATAATATGGTTTTGTCAAGTGAGGTAGGGGAGCATCAATATGCAAATAAAATTTTAAAAATTTTATCTCCTAGATCATCAGATTTCTAAAGTACGTAATAAACTAAAATCCACTGAGAACTGGCATTTAATTTTACCTGAAAAATTTTAAAATATCTTTCTCCTTTTAAATCTACTTGAAAATGTCCTGCTCTTTGAGGGTCTTCATGGAAAATGCTATTGAGACATCAGAAACTATTAACCTCCATCAATGATTTTTTATTAGAATCTCGCTGTTACTTCATGTTTTGCTACATTGATATATCCATGTTGTGACTATATGAAGATCTTTGAACTGAACAGAATCATAAGATTCAGATGTCTCATCATGTTTGAAATATTTCATCCAAATTGTTTTCTAGTCAGATGATCTCTGTTTATATACTGTTCTCACCTTTATCAGCTATACAACACAAGGGAAAAGAATAACTTTTTGCTTCACATAACGGTCTAAATAGTTAGGGTTTTTTTTTTTTTTAGAAGAGTTCCACCAAATTGCAAGAACGTAGAAGTACTGACATTTACATATGTTGAAAAAAGTTTCCAGAGAAATTAGAAAAAAATCATATTACATATGCAATTTGTTCATGCCTTAGTCAACAAACTAATACTGGCCTATTTTGTATATACTGCATCAGTTTACAAATGTAGAATCTAAATGTATCAGCAAAAATGATATATTTATAAACCCAAAATAAATTTATCCTTATCTATCTGTATCTTTCCAAATATCCAAATTTAACCATCTTCACAAAAGTACACATTCATATCTAATTCTTTATCATTGACTTATCCTTTATAGAATTAATTTTGTTAACAAAATAATATGAAATAAAAATGACCTTAAAACATTCTACTAGAAATAATGGTAATTACAAAGATCAGAAATTATTTTGCATAACAACTTTCCATAGAATTGGGCAAAAATAATTCAAATTACCTTACCACAATTCTCTACTGAAATTATGCTGTACTTTTTCAATATATAGGATTTCAGTTACCAAATTCTCAAAAATGATTTGGTCTCTATAAAACTATATTAATTTTCCACTTAAAGCTCTAAAACGGTGTCAAAATTTACAAATACATTTTTAAGCTACCAGCATATCATAAAATATATCAATATATAAAAACTTATAGAAGAGTTACAAATACATCTTAATAAAGAATGAAAAAAGGTTAGACAATGTGAAATCATAACAATTTTCCTTATGTAAATATAGCACCTTGAACCCAAGACTAGGAAGAGCAAGTTGAGTTGATGATCAAGGTGATGGTAGATCTCTACTTCACAGGCATTTAAACCTATTGACTAGTAAAATGCTAATCGTGTGGTTTCAGTGAAACCAATATGTTTATTTAAATTCTAAGAATTCTCTCAAATAGGAAATTAATTTTCTGTCCAATTTCTTTCCCAGGAATTTCTGAGAGTTTTCAATAAAAGATTAATTCATACTACTGTACAGATTAAACAGGAAATGGAATGGCATTATTCAAAATTGAAACACAAAAATTTTTAGATTTATTATTTTTTATAGAAACATGATTTGATGTTAAATGAACAATTGGAATAATTGATATATCAATAACATTTGCTTTACATCTTTTGAAAAATTCAATACCTATAAAGGAAATTCTTGAACAAAATGGGGACTTTAAAAATTTTCAATTTTTATCAACTTACTAGGCCAGAAGAAGAATTTATCATTTTTTTTTCAGTTTTTAAAACTTAATGTGCCCTCTATCATTTATTTTAATTATTTACATTATGGAATAATTCATATTTTATGTGTTCTGATATTTTTCCCCCCAAAAGAAGTACAATTATCCTATAAATTTTGGTGGTATTTTAACTATGCCAGGTAATTTTTGTTTGCTTTGTTTTGGACATACTAGTTGTGATAGCATTCATTAACATACTTATTAGACTGTTTTAATTAAAAGTAATTATTATTAAAGAATATCCATTTTAAAATGTTGCAAAAACACACACACAAGAACAAAACCACATCTTTCTCTGATTTTCTATCTCTTAAATAGAAAGAAAACATGAAAATCCTTCTCTTCAATCCTCAATTCTACTTCTAGAATTGTGTCATTGAATATCATAGAAAACATATGCTGAAGAAAATATTCATACAAAAAGAGGGTTTTAAAATTATTGTTGTTGTTCGTGACTGCTTTTTTACAAGGAAGTAATCATACTATACATTTTAAATTAAAAAAAAAAAAAACTATAATGATTTTTACAGCCTAGTCACAATATTTGACAAGAACATCATTTGGGATTAAAAGACGTTCCAGAGTAGTTCTGGCTCTTTACATTGGGGATCAGAAATGATTGTGGTTTTCCACATTGAAGTTCTTTTTACATAGTATCTTCTTTTGCTGACTGCATCACATCAATTTCAACAACTTATTAGTGTTTCCTGTTTACTCTGATTCATTTAAGGGACTGAGGATAAACATCCTCAACTATATCCTCAACTTTTGTCTTTTCTCAGGAATGTATCCAGGACAATTGAATTATTTTATTCCTAACTCAAAATCATACTATACATGAAAATTTACTGTAATTCGTAAAAAGCTACTGTATCCTCATTTGTGTATTCATTCTTTTATTCATTTATTTATTCAAAAAGGTCAAGAAATTGGACTAGGTACTGGGGGTTTAAAAATGGAGCAAGACAAAATCTCTGACCTAGTACAATGGTGGGGAATTAACACAGAGAAAGCAAATAATTTTAATATGTTTAATTTTGATATTTTTGATAATCTCAAAATAGAGATTTGAACAGGTTCTCCAGAGTACCTATGAACAGCTGAGAATTGGAGCCATGCTAGACAAAACTTCTTAGATTTTATAATAATGCTTATAATCAAAGGGCTGCAGTCAGCCTTTTTAAAGTGTCTAATTTGCATTATAAGACAACCTACCTCTTTAAGAACTTGTGTCTACTGCGGGAATTCTCATGAACTCAAAATCCAAATTTTTCAATCTCTAATCCCCTATTGATAAAGATTAATTTTCACTTTGAATTTGGTACTGTAGCTAGTTAATTAGGTATGTTTTTTAAAAATAAATCATTTTTATCATTTAAAATATAACTATTCATTCTTACCAATGTAAAATATAACTGTTTATTTTTACCATTGCAAAATATAATTAGAGAAAACAGGTTTATGCGTTCATCATAGATTTGTTTAATGCCGTTTCCTGCAAAATTTGAGCCTAAGTTTACTTGCTTTATCTCGATATTTTTCATTTGCTTTTATCAGTTAAAGTTAGTCAGTTCCAACCATTAAAACAAAGCTCAAATTGAAACACATATTTAGATTATTTATAGTCAGATGGGCTTTTGACCCATGAGTAATGAAAAAATGAGATTATTACCTGATACCAAAGTTCTGATGTAATAGAGTCTTGTGTAGAGCGAACATACAATTGCTCATCCAATAATGAACATTCATGATAATGAAAGGGTCTGCTCTTACTAATTATAATAGAAAAACAGAAATAAACCAGAACTATTTTAGGCATACCAAGGCATGGTCACTCTAGTGATATCACACAATTGTTTTTGAAAATCCAACAAAATCCCTAAAGAAATGGAAGTGGAAATAGACCAGAGAAGAGACAACTAAGTAGAAAGCTGCCTTGCTTTCCAGCTTGTCAGTATTGGAAAAACTCTTTCTTGGAGTCACAGTTGTTAGAAAACTAATTAGCAGAAAAATAAAAGGAAATATCATTAGCAACAGACAGATTTTGAAAAATTACTATAAGTTAAGAGGTTAAACTACCATGCACAGTTATGTATATTGTTGCTATGCATTCTGGTCCAGACACAAACCTCCTTTGAAGGACTCATTTTTGTTTGAGACAGTCCATAATTCAGAACATGAAGATTCAAAGTTTGTTTGTCATAGTTCTCTCAGGAATATTTAGGTTATGGATGGTAAGTCTTCCTGGAAAGTGTCTTTTAATTACGTAACAAACAGCTAACCTTCCAGATGGAAACTTACTGAGAAATGTAAACAATACTTTTGTTTTTCTCTAGGAACACATGCGTCATTTAGAACCTAAGAGAGAATTCACAATGGATGCTTAGTAACTGCTCTTAAGTATTGAACCTTGGCACCCACAACTAAAATAGGGTTATTTTCAGAAAGTTTTTGTCTAGTATGGATATATGATAGCGCTGGAAAAGTGGAACCTATGCTTAATTTTGTGGTTGTATTTTTTAAAATGTCCTCTTTAATTCTTTGGTGGTCTATCAATAGATCTCTGAAGATCTAAAATAAAACACATATTCTAAGTAAAGCAATACAATATAGTCGTTTCAAATCAAATCTTTGAAATCAAATTAGAAGTTTAAATCCTAGCTCTTATTAACCCACTGTGTTATCTTGGGTAAATCACTGTGCCTCAATGTTCCCATCAGTTCAATAATATCTACTTCTTATGTGATTGAGAGGAAAGAATGAGATTACACCGTGAGAGGAGTACCTGATATGAAGTAAATGCTTATTTAAGATTATTCATTTTTAGAACGTGATTAAAAAAAAAAAACTCAACTAATTACTTTGAACCCAAATTATCTTCCTACTTCACAGATTTGAAAACTATAAGGATTTATGAATTATACTTTTATATTTGTATACCCATAGGAAATGTGTAGAAAGGT